TTTCCCTTGTCTCTGCTTTGTAAGTCCCAGTTGAATCTAAAGTTCTACCCAGTTTGGAATTCTGCTTTCCAAGTTTAGACTTCTTTTCCATGGTAATTATCTCATTACGTCAGCAGTATTTGAACCTGAACCCACTGATGCCTTGTAACCATTATTCAGAGTGAGACGCACAATCACAGAATTTTAGAGCTAAAGTAATCACGCTGATCTTTCACAGCATTTCTTCCTCATCCATGGTGAGGGATTAGGGGACTCTCATGCAACAATAAAATATTGTTTTCTGTTTCCCCATGACCTTAGCTCCTCACCTCCCCAGCACAGTCACTGTTGACTGAGGTCCTGTGTGTCATTACTCAGGTGTTGGCATGGGAGAACAAAATGTAATTCTCAATTACTTCTACCAAAAGAAGGTAACTAAAGGGATCAGGGTGATGTCTCCACGTCACAGTATTTACTACTGGCTGCCTTGACTGCCGACTCCTTCGGTAATACTCGAGACGGTCAGCTAACTAGAATCAGAGTTGTCTATAAGGCTTTCCTGGTACTGCTTGCTTCTCTGGCAGCACTTATCAAGAATAAAATTAACTGTTTCCTCCTCCCTGTTCACAAAGCTGGCACAGCTCCTAAGTGCTACAGCAGAACAACTGTTTGATGCATGCTTGTTATTCCCCTTCCCAGATTATAAGATCCAGGAGTGATGGGCACAGAGCATTTTCTTCTTGTCTTCACAATGCCTAACTAGTTCCATCTATATACTTTTTTAAAACAAATATCTCTTCAATTAAGTTTAACTCATTATAGTAGATAATCTGGCTATCCTCAAGAATCATATTAAAGTTTGAGTCCACACGAATCAAACATATCAGAGACAATTACATTCCAAAGTTCCTTTGAAATTTTTCAAGGAGATTCCCTGGAGGCTACTCTAATTAATTGATGACACTTATCAAAGCGCATCAAATCACAAGGAATCATTTCTATCAAATAATTGCATTATTTTCTCCCTTTCATGAATACATTCACCCTAATCATTCTTTGCATCTTTATATCTATTTTTCTATTTTTTTTCCCTGCTTTCACTTTTATTTTGGATGTAGCATATCAGGCATCATTTTGTGCCTATGTAATTTTAGATATAGCATGTAATTTATTTTGACATTCAAAGTAATGAGGAGATGAACCTTCCATGTTTAGCAAAATGAAACAAAATCACAGTCATCAGATGAGCTCATGTTGACCTCACGAGACGTTGGCATCTTCCCTTGTCACAGGGGATGCTGTTCAGAGAATCAACTAAAGTTCCTCAGGAAGCCACCAATGAACTTTGTGAGTCCAGGCAATGGAGCACTCCCCACACACGGGTGGCCAAGGAGACCCAATAACCACCCTCTCGGTTTTCCATCGCTTGTTCTTACCTCTGGTTTGCTTGGAGATTTTTGTTGAATAATGGACAATGTGTATAAAAACTACAGAGAGAACTGGAAGCCATGAATGCCACTTCATCCTCCAGAGGAGACTTGTTTTTGTCCTAGTGTGCAGCTGGGGGGTAGGACACCTTCATCCAGACTCAGAACCCCAGCTGGAAGTCTGGGTGGCCAGGGCTGTGCCAGTCCATGTGGCTCCAACCCAGAGAGATTGCTCTGCTCAGATTCTCACCCACCGCTCAATAGTTAGCACAAGAATCTAGGGAGGTGGCACCACACAGAGGGCCACGTCTCTGCGTCACCCTGGACTTGAAAACTTGGTCCCATAAGTACCAGCAGCTTGGCTGTTCTCCAGTGCCTCCCACAGATTTCCTCTTGCTAAACTTTATCAAGATTTTTTTAATTGTTCTCACAAAGAGAGTTGGTTTGCATCTAGCTTGTCCAGGGTTAGACACCAAATGATGAGGTTCACAGCCACTTGAAATAATTCCTTGATGTGTGGCTAAGCTACCAGCTTGATATGCAATAAGGTTCATTTGTTTTGTTCCCCTTATGATTTTTGGACCCGACTTTTTAGATTTTGATTAGATTTTGTTTTATAATCACCTGAAAAATCTGCGCAGTTCCCAAAGGCACATATGGGAGAAACTGACCTTCAGTTCTGGCCCCTTAGGTCGGCATGACTTAGATTTAAGATTTGTTTTCATTTTTTAGTAGAAGCAAATACCAAAACTGCATCTCTATCAGTAGCCCTCTTAGATAAAACATTATGCATCTTATGCATTCCTCTGCACTTTGCTTATCTTCATGTAAGAATATCAGACATGTAGTTTTTTAAAATGCTGCTAAGAAAAATGGGGGCAGGGGGCCAACATGTAACTGGAAATGGTCTGCACATCATTAAAAGGCTGGAGTTTTGTCAATAAATCCAATTTGCTGAACCTGGGGAAGGATGGAGAAGCAGGTGCCAGCAGAGTAGCACAAAGCATGGGAGCTGGAAAGTGAGGCAGGGAAGTGGGGACAGGCTGCCCAGGACAGGCTGCCACTGCCGCCTCCCATGGCACCCCCTAAAGACAGCCCCTAATCCTCCTTGGAGCAGTGATTGGCACCCGACTGTCATCTTGCATGTTATGTATCTGTCTGGGACCTGCCTGGCTCCCCACCTAGGTGGGGATGTGTAAACACCAGAACACCTCAGGCTGCAGCACACTCCACGAAACATCCACTTACGTGACAAAATGAGGCGACCATGACTGCTAAGAAAACATTTTGGGAGAGAGTAAAGGCTCTGAAGGTGGCTGCTCTGAGCGGCCCTCCAGCACAGACCTGCTCTGGCCAGCAAGCATCGCGGGCAGGGCACATGCAGGAGGAGGAAGGGCGAAATAAAGCTGGGGGTGGGGGGAGGGTGCAGTCCAGGAGGACCCCTCACCTGTGTGCTTCCCCAATATCACCAGAGACATGATCACAGTGAAAATGGGGAAAGAGCTCTTCACAGATTCAGCAAATGAAACCGCCACATTTTCCAGGCTGACCAAACCCCAAACCACATCAGACCCACAAACGCATGCTCAAGAGGAAACTGGCCAGTTGGACAGCAGGGTTTGTGCCGATATAAACAGCAAGGAACAAATATTTCACTGCATCCAGTAAACGTAGATGATGGCATGGGCACTGCCTCTTGTGCTGGGTCACCCTCCAACAGGGACGGGATGGGTTGTTGAGAGAGAGGCTGCAGAAGCTGAGGGGGAACCACAGTGAGCCCGGGGGAGCCCGTGAGCCCCACACACCCAGGTCCGTCGCGGTGACGGTGGGCTCTGTGGTGATGATGATCAGCGCCTTCTCAGAGGGGCTGCCTCCACTCCTGGCAAAAACAATCACCAAAAAGAGAGCCCAGGGGAGAAAAGACTTTCCTTTCAGGTTCTCCTCAGAGCCAGGTCTCTTCAGTGCCTGCATTTGCTGAAGACAGGCGCTCAGGCCACCGCTGATGTGAGTTGATTACAGAGACTGACAATGTGGGTCACTGACTGCCCAGGTGGGAGGGCACAGGTGGACTCAGAGAAGCAGGGAACCAGCTGCCCATTGGATGTTGCCTTCACAAAGGCCTCTTCTCCACAAAGCATGGAAACAGAGGCTAAATTTAACCTGAAAATAACAGGCATTAGGACCTGGGCTCCTGTGGGTCGGGACCCTGGGAGAATTGCAGTTGGTCGCCTATGTTTCAGGTCTCTCGTGGACGTGTCCAGGCTGTAGTGTTATCTGAGGGTTCAACCAGAGCTGCAGGGCCCAGAGCCCAGCTCACTCAGGGCTGCTGGCAGGATTCCTGTCCTCCTAGGCCATGGCTAGACAGCCACCTCTATTTGCCACCAGGACGGCCTCTCCAGCAGGTGTTAGCCAATCAACATTTTGCCAGGGGACCATGGACTGGTACAAGCTCTTTGGAAAACGTTTGGCATTGCCAGGTCCTGCCTGGGGTCACCAGTGCCTTCCAGCTGTGGCCCTCTCCTCTTTCCACAGCCTGTTCCACTTTCTCAGCCCACGTGACTCAAGATGCTTTTGGAGAGAAGCAGTTCCTGCCCAAGCCCTCCATCCCCCTACCTGCCCTCCGGGAGATAGCAGGGGCCCACCCACATGACCCTACGGGTCTGCAAGGGGTGCTCAGAAAAGTGGGGCCCAGAGGGTGAGTGGCTTTGAGGTGGTCCACAGAACATGGAGCCAGGGAGGGTGGCACCAGAGTTCACTGTGGGTGGCCTCAGGCCAGAGGGGCAGATGCAGACACCAGCCTCCTGCCCAGCCCACCCCTGTGGGCTGTGCAGCCCAGTGGTGACCCCCCTGTGGTAGCAGCCCAGTAAGCTCCACGCCTCCTCATGGCCACCTCCTCCAAAGTGCCTACATCTTTCTACCTTTTAATAAAGACCAATTCATCTTATGTTAAGTTTCCAAACTATATTAATTCCATCATACCTTTTGCAATATAAATGTAATTACAAATATAAATATAAATTACAATATAAATGTAATTCCCCTCTGCTCCTTTTTTCATCCTTAGTATGATTTACTGATACTTTTATTATGATGTAATAATGTAGGTCTGTTTTAAGGCCTAACATCAGGAAGCAAAGACCAGAGGTTATCTCTGAGGAGAGCATGAAAACCAGCACAGAAATCGTAGACTACTTCACTGTTAGGCCTGGGGTGTCTTCACAGGCCGGACATTTTACCCTGGGACCAGAAAAGCAAAACAAGCCCTGCAGAGAGGACATTGCCGGTGAAATTCAGCAGCCCGGCTGGCTCCTTGCTTTTCGTTCTGATTGAGTGAACAAGCCTGGATTTCTGTTACTAGCAATCAAAGGAATCTTGCTGAAGTCTGGAATCGATAGTACAATTAGCTGGACTGAGCTTAGTACCTAACTCTTCACCTCCCACGGCCCCATTTTTCATCTGATAGCTTTCTAACAACCTGACTTTCTACTACCATAGTAAGCAGAAGACGAAAAACTCAGGCCCTGCTAGGTGCCCAAATTTAATAGTCTAATGAACAGTATAAAGGCAGAGAACTCACCCTGGTATTCAACTCACCCTGTTCAAAGCCGCTAGGACCAGTTTGTGAATATCATTCCTGAAACACTGTTTTCTAACCATAGTGAGCTTACGCTGAGATTCAGTATCCTCTCTGGATTCTTCCGGCATGCCTACATGCAAAAACAAAATAAAGAAATAAATGCTTTCCTCATAAATTTGAAAGCTGAAGGTGGTCACTTTGTTAGAAATGATAAACATTGAGCCCAAAATACTCAGGTCTGTGGTTTTTCTCGTATGTTATTTTCTTGTTGAAAAACAACTCCTAGTTATAAGGAATTAACACAAATAGTTCAGTACTGAATATAAATATGTGCTATATGTATTTATTAGTATTTACTAATATAAATAAATACTACATATATAAATATAAATAAATATAATATATATGAACATTTGTTGAATTTAAAGTAGCAAACAGTTCCGAAGGTAGAGGAATGTTCTGTAGCAAACCACCTCTCGTACACCTAGGCTGTGCTTTAAGATGCTGGAAGATTTTTCAGGCAACAATGGACAGCGGAGAAAAGCTCATGGCTATTTGGACTAAAACATCCAAAGGTCAGCTATGAAATGTAAGCACAAAAGAGCAGCTGAATAATAGTGGGAAAAAAACAAGATTTGAATTTCAGTGTTATGACAGTAGAGAACACATTTTTTAGCAGTCTTCTGAAGGCTACATAATGGTATCAGTAATGAAAACACACTCCTTATTAAGCTACATTGTAGCTGAAACATCCCCAAACCATTGAAAACACTAGAAATCAAGAAAATTGGTTTTAGAAGATAATAGGTAAAATTATTATGATTTTCCCCAAATCTGAGACTGGAAAAATAATTATTAATAAACAATCACTTATTTTATCAATCAATCCTTTTAATAATATGTATTAACACAAACTATACACTGGCCGCATATATTATATATAGCTTTTTATTTACTTAACAAAAGTCTGAATGCCAATTACATGCCAGGGATTTTGCTACATGCTATGAATACCGGAGTGATTAAGGCAGGCTGGAGTCCCACCCTCCTGGGACTTTCAGTCTTTAGTTTAAATTTATTCAAACAGCTTCTGACATTCCTATACCTGTACACGCTCTGTGTGTCATTTTCAGTGACGGAGAGCACATTAACTTCTGAGGTTGCCTACTGAAAGCAGCCCTCCTGAGTAGGAAACACCCGCCATTTATAATGGGTCTGATTAAACATCTTCCTTATATAAATGAGCATTCCTGTAAATTTAACCTCCGATCTTTGTTCTTTCACTTGAGGCCCTATTATTCAAAACGGATAAGGTTTCCTTTCTACATGATGATCCTTCGGATTGTGTGGGCCATAAACATTTTTGTGAGTAGTATCCATAACTCATGGGCTCCAGATCTCAAGAATTCCAAGTTTAGTACTTCCAACACAACAGTCATTCAATTCACACTGTTGCAAAAATGTGTATTTAAAAGTGCCTACTCTGAAGTCAGCCAGTCTGTATAGCTTGAAAATCTGCCTTTGCTATGTAAGATAGGACCTTAAAAGTCTCCACACTTCTATGCCTCGATTTTGTTGTCTATGTCAAATTAAAAAGGAATATTTGCCTTATGGGTTGCTGTGAGAATTAAAAGAGTGTATATAAAGCACTTCAAATAACACCTGATACCTTTTAGGTCTGCCATATTTTTTATTATTGTTGTTGCTAGTTACAAACGAGTAGATTTCAACAGAGTTTCATATCCTCAGCAATCTCAGTTTCTCTTACTACTTTTAATTACGTGGTTTTATATTTCTAATCACTCTCCTCTATAGACTTTCCTGTTTGCAGTGTCTCTTCTTAAATCATTTGACGTTATTTCCTCTGGAGCTAAGTTAAGAAAGAGCAAGTCAAACGATATTTTATTAAAATAAGTCTTTATTATTATTTTACTAAAGCAACCAGTGCAATCTCTTCAATAAGTTGTTCTTATAAAATGGAAGAGAAAGAGGATAGTATAAAATTGAAAGAAACTTAAGAGACGTAACACTAGTTGCAGTATTCTGTCCTCAATCAGATACTGAACTATATAAATTTGCTGTGAAGTACAGCTTTATTATTAAGGAAATCTGAATATGACCTAGTTAATAAATGAGTACATGCATATCTAGATAACTTATAAGAACCTCAACTGGAATCATAGTCAACCTTGAAACCACAGGGGTACTGACTCCATAGTTATTCATTGGTCTAGAACAGGGGTTATCAAACTTTTTAAACAGGGGGCCAGTTCACTGTCCCTCAGACCACTGGAGGGCCGGACTGCAGGCCCAGGGACAAGTCGCCTGCTAAGCAGGACAGGCAGTGGCAGCAAAAACACCCAGCAGGCCAGATAAATGTCCTCAACAGCCCACATGTAGCCCACGGGCCATAGTTTGAGGACACCTGGTCTAGAATGACACAGTGTAGCACAGCAGAATACCATAGGATAAGGTACAACATTGGTGAGGTGTTGTATGGTCTGGTAACATGGGATGGTAGCATACAGTAGAGTAGATGGTTAAACCTCTACCGACCCGAGAGATGTACTTGTATACTGAGATGTTATCAAACGCTAATATGTATTTTCATACATAAATCATACTCATAAAGTTAATTATTTTCAAGGGCACTCAAAATACATCTAAAGGATTACAGACCTACAGTGTGGTTTCAGGGCCAACTTAATAACAATAAACAAAAGTACTATATTCAAAATTTATTTTTGGACTAAAAGAATATTATTTTATTAACTAACAGATTTGATTTCTGAATCTCCATTTTTTTATATTTGAAACTCAAATCCACCCTCAAAAGAATAAGGCTGTCGCCTTCAAGGATAATCAAAAGGGGTTGGGGGGGCATTTATTTATTGCAATCTATAAACAAAAGTCAATAAAACTAGCAATGATACTTTCCACCAAAATTACATCTATTAAATGATGCCTCAAAAGTTGGCTGACAACTATGGATGTGGCCATGTTTCAATTTTTTTTAAATATTGATTGAATAGCTACTTTTGTTCAAGTTTTTTTATTTTTAAAATGACTAAAGAAAGCTCTATCTTTTTGTTTTTTTTTTTTTTTTTGGC